GTAATAAGAAGTAAAGTTAAATAATAAGAAAAAGATGCTTAGGATCCTTTGATGTTACATCTTTGTTGACTAACATCTTTATAATGGAAACTGTGGATTATATTTGCAAACAGTTATTGGAAAAGAAATTTGATACTAACATTCTTATTATGTCGTTGAAGGAACTATTGTTGTAATGCAAAATGAATTCCTAGTTGATCTTCTACACTAATCTGTACAGACAAGTTGACGAAACGGCCATTAGATCTCCATTAGTCTATTTGTTCCACGGAGTATGTACAAAATGAACTACTATGTATACGTGATATTCTAAGTGAAGATCGATATCTGGAAAAGATCACCTGAGTTTAAATGAACTACAGTGGTCATAAAAGGGGAATTAACAAGAGTGGAGAAGAAGCCTTTGTTTCTCCCTTGTGTCTCCCTTGAAAGGGAGACGTTCAAAATAACTTCCTATTAGAACTTCTAGCTAAGGTAGTCAACAGAACATTTTATGAAGGTTATTTCTGCATATGTCTCAGTATTTAGCCACTGCCCATCCCCAGACTAAAGGATAGCCTATCAGATCTTAGCTTTTCATCTTCGACACATCAATTTGGCTATTCCCGTGGTACTACTTACATAAGGTGTACGACTAGGTAGTTGAGTCATCAGATACGAGGCCATTTACCGGCTTCTTTTGGAATAGGTGAAGTGAAATTGATGAAAGTTCCATCCGAGTCCACCTAATGAATACAGGAGACCACGAAGATGGTAATAAAGCCTTCAGTGTCATGCATTTTTGTCAAAAACAATGCAGCGTGTAGCTTGCTGACATCTACTCAAAAATAGCGGAGGCTATCACAACCATAAGACTTATTAAACCTGAACTTTCCTTATAGACAAAACAGGTCCAAGCATTACTCCTTTTTTGGTCTTCAGTTTATCGAAGGCTATTCCTTTTTTCATCATTCCTTGTCTTTTAATTCCAAATTTTAAAACAGAAAAAGCGAATTCCTTACAGTCCCTAAATCTCACTGTGCTTTGAAAATGTGTTCGCCCTTAACGAGGCTTGATTTTAGGCTGTACAAATACATTTTATAACTGTAGAGACTGATGGGAGAATTTATTCCAAGGAATATTATTCGCTCAGATTGTTGCTTTTCTGGGAGAAAAGTATCTGTGAATTTTTTCGAAGAGATTTGGAACCAAAGCTAACAAGCGACTTCCCAATAATAAACGTAACCCTCTAGTTACGCGTTAAATCCAAAACACACGATTTATCTGAAATACGGTGCTATGTTAATTAACAATATTCAGTGATAAAATGCAGACTTCGAATCGTGAGGTATCTGCGGGTTTATTGCTTTCAAAGCACCTGAAAAGAGTGTGCCAACAGTAAAAACAGCAGGGCTTTGTCCAAGCAACCAGAAGGGAATATAAAAGACGCACGTGTGTTCCGACAATGAGGTAAAGACGCAAGGTAAACAAGTACTCATGGTAAAATAGAACATCAGGAAAAAACGGAAGCAATAACAAGACCATCATGAACTATGAAATATATTACTATCCAGGGATATTAAATGGTGAACAAGATAAGATTGGAGAGAATTAAAAGTTAAGGCTGTGGGTAGAGCAACATGAAAGAATATAACTATACTACTCAACAATACTAAGTAGTTTAGAGATAAAGATATGAAAACGAGAGACAAATAGAACATTCCGATAAGATAAACGAGAACAAGTAAGAAAGAAATTAACAGTATTAATCAGTAAATCAAAGTGGCGGATAGATAAAGTAAATTGACAATGGCGAGTGGTTTAATGGGTTGCAACTTTGGAATTTCTATTATGTAGATGGATATGAAACCCCATCTGGTTAACTAGTTCACTAGTTAGTAGCCAGTCCTTAGCCCGGGTAAAGAGGGAAGGTTGGGCGTAGGGCTAGCAACCCTAACCCTACCCCGTAAAACCGATTCAACCGCTACAGAAACTTTACAGTACAGACAAAATATGAAAAATAAAGACAAACTTATTCCTCGCTGGAATCAGAGAGAAAAAATGACTCCAGTTGGTGAAAGCCATCGGGAAGCCAGTCGGCCGATGTATCTTCTCTCCCTCGATGAAAGAGAAATTAAGTATGGGGACATGGAATGTCTGCACTATGTTTGAACCTAACAAGGCTGCCTAGATTGCCATAAAGGTGAGAAGGTATAGCAATGAAGTGCTAGGAATCTGGGTAAGCAGGTGGAATGGAAGTGGACTCTCCAAACTGTCAACTAAAGAGTAAATAATCTTCTCCGATATTGTCACCCAGATGACAACCACAAGCACAGTGAGTTTCGGAGTGTCTATCATGATGTCCCCGACAGCATCAAAGGCTGTCTTTCATGCAGTGGGAACCAATCTCCTCCTCCACAATCAGGATCATGACAGCGAGGTTCAACTCAAAAGGAAGGAAGGTCACAATCATGCAATGCTACACACCTACAAATAATGCAGAACGAGAGAAGAAGGAGGAATTCTACAGACAACTGCAATCAATACTGGACAAGACCTCAGTTGGAGACATGAAAATTCTAATGGGTGACGTGAAATCCAAACTGGTAGGAGACAACACAAGAAGAGAACTACCCATGTGTCGAGAAGTGCTCGGTGAAATGAACGAGAACGGAGAATTGTTTGCAGACTTCTGAGCATTCACCGATTTGGTGATTGGAGGCCAGGCACCGTGTTCAAGCACAAGGATATTCATACAAAGACATAGATTTCACCAGACACCAGATGGACACACTAAAAATCAGACCGACTTTATCTCAATGTGAAGAAAGTGGAGACGCAGCCTACTTGACACAAGGCCAAGAAGAGGAGCAGATGTAGTTTCAGACCACATAACTGAACGATTAAAATAATATAGAAAGGAGAAATTTGATGCAGTGTGATCTGTGATAAAATAAGGTAGCTCAGAGTTCAAGCAGGCCAGTAAATGATCTTTTATACAGATACACAATTGTTGATCGTACGCTCTATGTAACTAGTTTCACAGGAACAGTTAAGTTGATACATGCTAGATGAAGAACTAAGATTAAGTAGGCAATCTTCTAGTCTCGGGATGAGCATTGGTCGATGACTGAATGATATGCAAAGGCGACTTTCATAAAACGTTCAGTTGATTGTTCTAGCTAGGCACTTTCAGCGTCTTCCTTAAATTGTGAGTACACAAACAAAGGCTTCTCCACAGTTGTCAGTTCTTATTTAGGAACAATGTGGTTGATGTTGCCTTTGACGAACCTATCCACAAATTATAAGTAGTGATTGTCTTTCAATTTAAAAATGTTTTACAATTCCATTTCTACATGTGTTTGAAATGTGTCGCACAGAGAGATAGTATTAATTCCGAGATATAGTTCTTTTCCCAGTACGTACACTTTTGTTAAGCTCAAGTGACTAGTTGAGAGACTGACAACCCAATTTTATTTATCTATCATTGATACTGTTATTATTGTCAGTTGGATACTTTTCTTTCATTCGTCTGCTTCACTTCTTAATTGGAGTATTTTTAAATTTTTTGAGCGACATCTGGTCTTATCTTATTAAGACTGCCGAACGTAAGTGTCTGGTATTTATCACCATCTATTTGCTCCAGCTGACATTTGTATCCTTCAGTGTAACTATCTTATGAACTTTTGTAAGACAGAGTTTACTGATGTGTTATGTGATGTAGATATCTAGTTAGGAATGGTTTGACTTCTAAGAAACCAAACATTGAATGTAAGATCCTGCGAAATTCGTGTGTGTTTGCTGATTAACCTTCAAATGTGAAAACCATACTTATTGTTGATACTGGTAATCCTCCTTTGTTATACTGGATCAGGTTAGTCAACATTTGTTAGCATTTTGGTTCTTATAAGGGTATTTCAATATCGCTGGATTATTCATTGTTATGACTGACTTGGTTAGAGCTAGCAGTGTAGTCGGGGTTGCACGTTTCCTCCTGTTTGGGACTCGCCAGCTGGATGCACCTGCATCCCAGTGAGTGATGATATCGACTTAAATATCAACGATTTCTACACTTGGTGCATTCAGCTGAAGAGTCCAAAAGTGGACGAAGTATGCCTTCTAGCTTTCGCTGATAGTCACCATCAAGAAAATTATAAAAAGACTATTTGTTTCATAGTTATCGTATTACTTGCATAGTTATCAGTCTGACTAAATGAGATAACTGTTGTCTCTATTTCGCTTCATTCACTAAAGGTTCTACCCAGCTGCCATTTGAATAACTCGTGAAGCACTACTAATTGAATTAGAGACGGAGAATATCATATTAATGATCATTTTGACTATATGAGATAGCCGTGGTTAGGTAAACTTGCAATGATTCACATGACAGTCTGACAAAACTCCTGGGTGATTGGAGTAAAATAAAAATCTGGCTATTAGTCGGGTCTCTAATCTTAATCGGTAGACTGCCAATATCTGGGAGGTTTCTTATTTCATTCCTACCACTTCACCCTCACTCATCGCTTAGTATCAACGTTACAATTTACGAACGAATAAACGTTTTTCTATTTATTTCTTAAGAACCAGAAGATGAAGAAAACAGACAGATGTTCTAAAACCCAGCCTTTACTAGCCGTTAGGATAATCAAAACAACGCCATACTGAATACACTGCGAACTGTTAAGTGATACCTGGATTGAATAGTCAACCGACGAGAGCTGAGAGACAGTAAGTAGTGTGAGGTCGTTTCTCTAGCACACATGCACACACATAAAGACACATTGGTCAAGATTAAAAGTCTTGTTTAAATGAAGAAGAACGATTTAATTGTCATACAGAGAATACATATCATATGAAGTTTACTGGTTCTACCATGAAATTTCAGTCAGATTAAGGAGTGACACTTTAAAAGAATTACAAGACTAAGAAACTTCAACAACAGAAGTCTAATATTAGTAGATTTATGTGGACAGTTTAGGAAATATTTACGATATTGTCTGGAATTGGTTGAAAGGTGTTCTTCATTTGCTCTCGGATAATGATACTGGTTTGATAACACGACCAGCAAACAACGCCGTTTCTAATATTGTGTCGTATATAAAACAAACAAATGATTCATTTACATTGAATCGAATTGGTTGAAATCCCCTTACACTTGTCAATTCAATGCTGATCGCAGTAGCAGCTGCAGCTTCTACTCCTTCTTCATTGACTTTAAGAAGTGAACTTTGTCGAAGCACATCAGCATGAACTTTAGCGTCGGTAATTCCTAAAAGAAAGGATAGAACAATATGACAATTTTCGAAAGATTGTTAGCCAACTTCAAAGTTTGGTGTATATTTTACATTTTAGCATTAAAATGCCTCCATTATTGATTCTGCAAAGTGGATAATAATGATGAATATTAGTTTGCAATGGAATACAGGACTTTCGTTTCGTCCCATTAGGGATTGTCAGCTGGATGCGCCTGGATTCTCATGAGTGATATTGTCTCTACTGAGACAAGAACCCTGAACCATCGCATGACAGCCACCACTGGTGCAATGAGTATCAGTTGTTGTTTACTGAAACTTGTGATTTCCTGTCGCTAGACTAGGTGGAATTGCTTGGCCTTTGTTTACAGATTTAGCCCATACTCGAATGCCTTGATACAGCCTAGATCTTCACTAGACTGTAGTGTTCTTGGTGGCCAGTGGCGATATAGAAGGCGTGCGTTTCGTTCTATTTTTGGAGCGCAGGTAAATCAAACTAGATTACAACAGCTGAAATAGTAAATAGCTACGGGAACCAGAATTAAATCACAGTACAACATGAAGGTGATAGAATCAAGATCACTACTTACCTGTTAAGTTCGCCAGATTTGGATTGAAGAGATCAGTTATACCCATTATTTTCAGTGATTCAACTAGATCGATAGACGACTCTAATTTGAATCTTGGTAATCCAAAGAGATTTCTGTCGGTTGAAGTTGCTTCATTAGGATTGGTAGTTGAACGTAGCCGCGTAGAACTTCTTCAGCAAATTCAATATTCCCTGTTTCAATTGGTAAGATGACAACAAACGTGAATCGTGGGTTCTGAAATGTCCAAAATATGGAGAGAGACGAAATAATTAGCCTAGGAGTAAGACTTGGTCACTGTGGTAGGTTGTAATTCAACTTTGGCCTGTTTATTAGAAGTATCATACGATGAAGGAACAGTATCATTTAATCGATAACGTTTCCAACACAATTTTCTGTCCGTTATTCATGTCAGGTTAGGCAACTCCACAACTTTGACACAGAGTTTATATAGTCCTAATTTTCTCTCCTTCTTTGTGACAAGACAATGGTAATAGAATTTTACATATATCTGGGACAGATGCAGAATCATTCATGTTACTGCATGTATTTGGTGTTGATTCGATGAACAAAGATTCGGTTTTCAATTCCTCTCTTCTCTATCCTACCCTACTGTGTGATTGTATGTAACTGTATGCAGAGCTATAGCCAAGCTTATCTCTAAATTTCTTGTCATATTGGTGTCTACTAATCTTCATTTTGCCAAGCTTTTATGCACTATCATTCTTATTGACCCTAGTCGACTACTTCAGCCTATGTATTTGACCATGGTCTAATTACAAGGAACTTGGTAAACCAGATTATTAATTTGCCTAATTGCATCGATAGGATCTTTTAACCTGCAAAGCTTATTACTAAGCTAGTTTGTTGGTGTAAATGTCACTTTAAACCCAACCAGCATTATTGAGAATTCTTCGTAATCCTTCTCAAGTGCCTTCCTTTTATGGTAACACAGCAGAGGCTTTGAATTCCCTCTCAACCTTGTCACCATCATTTTACTAATAACTGTAGAATTATTATTGATAATACCTCTTGTTACTACGACTTCCGTCCATTTTTTCGTCAACCAGAAGCAGATTCAACAGAGTTGTATAGACACTTTTCTATCATTCATTCCTACGTCATCATTGACTCCTTGCAAAATAATAATCACCATACAAGTAATCGTAACATTTCTTAATTATATATGAATGGATTTCAATGGCATACAAATAATTTTTCAATCCAAAATTTAGTATGCAATGCATGGTTAATCATAAGTATGCTTGTACGGATTTGAGTGCTTTATGTTAATGGAACGATTGAAATAAGTTTACAGCGCTTCTTAAGTTGGAGGTTTACGGGAAATTTATTGATTTCAAATCGGTAATCATTGGAAACATGTGAGCACTGGACAGCTGTTTCGACCTAGTGTGAGACTGTTTAGCGCTACGAAACCATTACTCCAACAAAGGTCAAGGCTATGACCTTTAGATTCTACGGCAGACATGTTACTACTCAGCTACACATTCTGCTGATTTTCATGAACTCGCTGAATGGAATATCATTACAATAGAAAATGTTACCGCATTCTTCTCAGCATTGTGAAAGTTTGTAATAATGGAAATTAGTTCCTTAAATGGAAGCTATTTACACAGGTAAGGAATTATTGTGTGAAAATGAACTAAATATATAACTAAACACAAAGAATGTCTGGATTTGTCAAACGATTCGACTGCATATGGATGTGGGCGCTAATGATACATTATATCACAGCTATAAAAGTCTGCATTCATGAGAGTATGAAAAATTAAACAGGGTATGTTCAGAGTAAGATGTTCTCTGGGCTGGTTGGTAGACTTTCCAGTGTCAAGCTAGATCCTATTATCAGAACATTGCAACTTTACGAGGACTGAATGGGACTTTTCATATGAATACTCTAATCTATATGCTTTCCCTAATAATATAAAGGTTTTAACCCGGGATCTGTGGTAGATTGTAATTCCATTTTAGTCTATCTGTTAGATATATCACACAGTGAATGAACAGTACTGTTTACTGGATAACGAACGTTTCAGACATCATTTATCCTCCACAGTCATATCAGGATAACTTCACAACTTTGGGGTGACCTAAGCGTTTGCAAGAACTGGCGAGGAATCATCCTCCTGTCCACCCAAAGCAAAATATTAAGCCACGTCATCCTGGAGAGACTAAAGAATGCACTAGACTCAAAATTACGACCGGAACAGGATGCCCGCCTGCCTTCAGGAAGTACAAATCATATGCAGACCAAATTGCAACTCTTCGCATCATCATAGGATAGAGTATAGAATGGCAGTCAACTCGACTCCACTTCAACTTCACCGAATTTGAAAAGGCCTTTGACAGCGTCGACCGAGAAGTAATTTGGTAGGCAGTTGCTTCAACACTACGGAATACCAAAAACCTTCATCAATCTCATTCAACAACTGTATGAAGACTCCACATGCCAAGTAATTCACAATGGGAAACTCAGTTCAGTGGTGCCTTTGAAGTGAAGTGAAGGCAGAAGTGAAACAAGGTTGCCTACTATCCCCCATGATATTCCTGATTATGGTCAACTGGACTGGATGATGCAGCAAACAGTGGGGAGCGGGAAGTGGGGGATACGCTGGCTGGATGGCAGAAAAGAACCTAGAAGATCTGGATTTTGCTGATGATTTATGTCTAATGTCACACAAACTTGAAGAAGTACAGGCAAAAACTAACAGGTTGACAGAAGGGGCAGGGCAGCGAAAACCGGACTTCAAGTGAATATAGAGGAGACAGAACTGATGAAGATGCCCAACCACCAGCACCACCAACAACAACAAACTCCAATCACCATAAACAGGAGAAACTTGAAGGAAGTAGCCTCTTTCACCTACACCTAATTAGGCAGCATTGTTCCAACTACAAGCGATACAGACGAGGACTTCAAAGCTAGCCAGGATCGAAAATGCAAGACAGGCCTTCCTTCATTAACCTGAAACCAGTGTGCAGATCTTCTGCACTCCACTCCACTCAGCATAAAGCGTGAACAAGAACCGGATTTTCAACACCAGTCCAGTCAAGTCAATGCTTCTGAGTGGCTCAGAGACTTGGCGCGTTACGAAAGGGATTCCCAACAAATTACAGACATTCATCAACAACTACCTATGCCGACTCGTTGCTGAAGCTCGGATGGATTGCTAGAAATAATAAGCAACAAGGAACTGTGGCTGGCTGTCAACGAACCAACCAAGAACCTATCGCTCAATAAATATGCAGAAGGAAGTGGAGATGGATTGGAGTGAGCATACACTGAGAAGGCCGAATGGGGACATCAGGCTCCAGGCCAGGCACTCGAGTGTAACCCAAATGGGAAAGGATGAGTTGGGCGTCCGATTTGAGGGTGACATGGAGGAGATGGTGTGAGGAAGAAACGAGAGATTGTGGGCATTCGTGGAGCCAAGGTGAAAAGATTGCAGAGAACAGAGTGGAATGGAGACATGCTACTGTTGCATTAGGAACCCAAGGGATAAATAATATAATAATATTCACAACTTTGAGACCTAGCTTATTTAGTTTTAACTCCTTTCCTTTCTTTGTGATATGGATAGTAGGATTTTCTATATATCCGGAACGTATGCTAAGTCATTCCTTTTGTATGTTTCGAGTGTTGATTTGATGAACACAGATTCAGCTATCAATCTATCCCTCCGTTATGCTACCCTGTCTCATCCTATAGTGTCGCTGAGTGTTACTGCGTGGATAGCTACAAATCAACTCTTGTTTAAATCCCTTATCTCACTACCATTTGCCAATCTCGATTTAGATGGATTTTTGCCCTGGTCAACTAGTTTGATTTGTATATGTAATCACACAAATATGACTAGGGATTTAGTAAACTAATTTATTCTGCGTAATTGAATCAATAGGATCATTTTACTCAGTCCTATTGAGAATCCTACGGAACGTCTGTGATGTGCCTGTGTTGTATTGTAATATAGTAGACGTTTTGAATTCTCTGCTATCAGTACTGTTACACAAGAAAGGTATCTCTGAGACATCACATATGATACATTAAACATAGTACTGTTTCATTGTGATACATCTAAAATGGAGAAATGTTCCTTCTCTATGTTATCAGAACTTTAAGTACCTATAAAATACTTTGATCTCATCTACCTCACTTTCATAATGAAAAAGAAGAAAAGAAGGGACTGTTCACTTACCGAGAATTGTTTACTAATCATATGAACTCTGAAATGTGGAAATTTCCCATAATCCATCGTCTCGGTGATGTACATCATTGGTACTTTGATGACTGGTTGATTTGCAGGCTTGAAATCTCGATCAGCAGTGGAACGCTTAGAAAACGGTTTTTTCCATCTGCCTATATTTGTAAGCATGAACAAATTCAGATTACTTGTGTTTCAATGCTCAGAGATTTGTTAGCATTATTGTAAGAATATGATGAAAAAATGGCAGAGAAATGCCATCTGATGGGGTGAAACATTGATTATCTTAGAGCTCAGGTTGGAATACTGTCAAAATTCAGATTTCTATTCACCTCGAATGACGAATGTGTTCGAATGTTTTTGTCCATTGAAAGGAGGAACACACTGTCAAACACATTCAGCCTCAATGTTGATGATTGTTCATGGAAAGAAATCATGAATATACTGATTTGCACACCGGATATTTTTATATGGCAAGATGATTGACTTTTGAATTGATGTTAATCAGTCAGATTTCTCATCTTCTAGGACATAGGCTTGGTAGTTATAGAGAGAGTAGTAGAATTTCGACGGCAACAGAAAGCTCTAGTGATTGATGGTTGTGAGTTCCTGTGTTTTGTTTTGTCGAATCACTACTGTGAATAAAGGTTCACAATATCCTTGATTCTCCACTAACATCCCTTCAAATTGTTATTCTAATGTGTAGACATTCCATCTTTCAGGAAATCAGTGAATGAGATATGAAGTGTATGGTTGGTGATGAGCAGTGGTGGAATTCAGGACGTTCATTTGGTTCCATTTGTGACTTGTCATTCAAATGTACCTGTGACTCAGTGTATAATATCATTTTCATCCATATTGTAACCCATCTGACATCGCTTCAAATGTCAGGGAATTAATTGCCTACTAGGCTACTGATTCGCAAATGATTTGATGTTCTTTTGTGTAACAGAAGTACACACTGGCCAATATGCTCAATTTAATCAGTTCACTAAAGTATTGTTGAAGATGACAAAGTTGAATAAATTGAACTCCATGAACGGTTCTTCTAAGAATATTTGTTCCAGTGATCTACTTCATGAAGTTGCGACATTCTATTGAGTTCAGAGACTGTACTCAAGACTGAGATTCGATGGCAAGGATCTCTTTCATTTTCGAGAAATTATTTTTAACTCTCAACATGTATGTTTGAATTCTACCTTGAAGTTTTTGTTGAGTGATAACGAATTCACCGATTTAATTGAAACATTCACAACGTCTTCATCTTCAGCATAAAGAGTCTTTCAAATTCTTTAGAAGTGCAAAAACAACCACCTCCACTTTCAGACGACATCGTAGGAAAATGGTTATGATAACGATTTTGAATGTTTTCTCTATAAAAGTAATTACAGTCTGCACAAAATGCATTTCCATGTTAGTTCTGTTATCAGTCACTTCGAGTTGTAATGTCAGCGATTTTAAACAATCTCTATGACATTGATGGGTGCTTCATTTCTTCATGTAATAATATTTACTCAAAGTATCTTGTTTTCTTTTATTGAGGAATCTCGTCACGTTCTACTATCAGTTTAAATAATATATGGATTTATAGGCTTCATGGTTGAAATGTTTATTTCGGTTACTGAACAGCGCTGACATACCCTATTGTCTTACCCTATCTATCTCAGTATGTCTCCCACTAACGTTTTTATCGTGTTGCTTAACTTTCGATATGTTGATTTGATTAGGGGTAAGGTGAGGTGATTTTTCAAATACTTAAGAACGTGTTCTGTTATCTTTTGTCTGTTTCTGCATTAAGTTAGCTACAGTTGAAATTGATTAATATTGTGTGTTTACTTTGTGAAAATGTGGCATCGGAATATTATCTTTAAAACCTATCAGAGGTTTATCTTCTATAGACGTTTGTTAAAGGATGAATATATAGAATCTAACCGTGCTTATGCACGATTACATCTTCAGAATATCTGTCATCAATGATCAACAGAAGTTCATTTTTTATCAGTCCCTATGGTTTTTAGTACATTCTAGTTGATATTTAGTTTCATGATAAACAGAACTTGTGCTATACTGAACATTCTTGATTGACAGTTAACGTCATATAGGTATTTTACAGTCATAATATTGGTATCGGCTACACCCGAGAAATATAGGCCTACTATTACTTGCATCAATTTTTCCTCCAAGATCTATGTTAATTTATCAAAACTTGTATGAGTTTTATACTGATTTCATTACATGCATAGATGACTACTGTCAAATGTTGTTGTAGGGAATTCCGACTAGGAACTCATGTTTTTTTGATGCAGAAACATGCCAACAGATTTCAAATTCATCACAATGGTCATTGGTGACAAGTTGCATAACTCCTGAAGATGCGTACTACCAAGAATAACCATAATTACATTATGACTGTATATGCACTTCATACTGTACAAAAATTTACATTCGAGTGAATCCAAGCATAATTTTAAGTGATAAGCAGAAAAGTTCAAGAGTAAATTTTATTCTCTTCTGGGAACTTTCGGTGAATTATTTTGCATTTCGGTGTGGTATCCTACTCTGTAACTACATGCAACTTCTTAATATCAGAACAATATACAAGAGACTCCCGATATAAAGTGAATAATACTTCTTCAAGAAGTATAAGCTGTCATCAAAGCTGGTACACTTCACAGAGGGATGTAAACAACAAATTGGTAGAGAAAAGCGGCATTAAAATACTCAGAGGTGTATAAGAGGAAAAGAAATTCAAAAGAATGAAGATGGATGAAAATATTCAAGCTTTAGAAGGTGTCAAAGAGTGAATAAACCTGGTCTGTTGTGCGGGACCGTTTTTCAGCCACACCGCCTAGGATAGTTCACACCTCCCTATGCTACGCACACCAACAGTCAGAGAATTCATGGACTAGTGTCACGTCTCAAATCAATCCTATTTTAGTTCACATCATACATCGAGATAAGAAGCGGCTTAGTCTCCGAAGATTAACAACCTTATTGACTGACTTGATGCCATACTTAGTACCATTCATCTAACCTTCGCACTGCTCACTTGGCAATTCTTCCCTATGTGAGCACTGCTGTGAGTACACCTCTGTTTGGAAACCTGTAATCTCTTCACACATACTTTCTTCGGCGACTTTTTACAACCGTAAGATAGGACAGAGTAGACTCTAACTAAATTATAAAATGTTTCAAGAGGTTATCGGATATCTCACGGACATCAAAGAAGATGTAAGTTAATAAATGCGAAGCGAACCTTCCGTATTCGAACAGAGATTACATCAGCAACCAGCCGGTTCGGAATAATGCAACTCCCCAGGTTGGCGAAGCGATTACTGTATCTCACTACTTAATTGCTTAACTGTAAGCTGGGAGGAGGTGAAATCAGTCTTAAAGCATCATCCCTCAGTTGAAAGGTCTGAAGCAAATACGAAACAAGCATGGATTTCTGCTCAAGGCATTAGGAAGACCTTGTACGTGCTAAATTTTGAAGTGAGACTCAACCCAGAAAACTAATTAACCACCAACGATTTAAATGATTTTCTATGCAGTTTTTTTAAACAAACAAAGTTATACTTCTATAAACATTAACTGGGATCTATGATCTAAAAATACTGACGGACTACCTCCTGTTACTGAAGTGGCATAATAATTCTTGAGTTTATAGGAGTCGCCAGTAGTTAGATAAAGTAGAGAGATACTAGTCAGAAATGTTAGAACAATATGACATACCTTTGAAGTACAACGTATTGACCAAAGCGAGAATGGTCTGTTTGGATAATGACTGTTTTAAAAATTCTGGGATCAGTTTGTTTGTTTTGTTACTGACCCATCCGTTGATAGTCCGTTTAGCATCTTCTTGCAAAGTAAAATCCACCTAATAATACAGGATAAAGTTAGCAGTTAGTATTACTAACTATGAAAAACTTTCTAAAGGAATTAAATGATATGCTACTGATATACTAGCACATGGGGTCGTGAGCGTAAGCCTCTATATTGCCTGTTTCAATCTCAACATCACCAGTGGATAGTGGCTGGTAGTGGGACGCAGGATGCGCGTTTCGTCCTACTCGGCACTTGTCAGTCGTGTTTACCTACCTTCCAGCGACAAATGTTGTTCCCAGATGGGATGAAATGTACGTCCTGAATTTCGCTGCTGGCTAATGTTGACCTTTACTATAAAATTTAAAAGGTAGGCAATATTAAGGCGTCCACGCTTGACCCTGTATGCCAACAGAGACCGATCAATTCGGTCCAGTCAACTACGGGATGCTACAAGCAACATTATGTAAAATACACTTGTACAACAAGAAGTGACTGTCTTGACTAGGTGGCCTGATGGATAACGCTCTGCCACCTGAGGTGATCGGTCCCGAGTTTTAGTGTTAGCGGAAACGACATCGATCACTGAAAGGCAGGTGCATCCAGCTGATGAGTCCCAAACAGGACGAAACGCACATCTTCGATCTCACTGTTAGCCACTATCCATCATTTTTATAAGTTATACAGAGTAGTTTACACCAACACATGGCTTAGTTCCACTTAATTTCTTATCACAGAAGTGGGTAGTCAGGTAGTAAACTTTACCAACGAGATTCAAACAGCATTTCAAAGGGGAAATCTACATTATTTACAGTTTTATGATCAAAGTGAGTGTTGAAGTGCTTAGCAACTTGTACTTATGAACATAGATCCAATCGTTTCAGGCTGAAGATTATCAGTGGGCTGCGAAGGATGCTCATTACTTAGCAAAAATGAAATTTGATGATGATGAGTAAAAGTACTAATTGTAGTTGGGAACATGGTTTTCAGATGATGGCATATTTTGTGAATCATACACATTCTTTCTTCAAGATGCTCAGAATAGTGTGAACAAAGTGATATTCTCAAAGCTTTGATATAAGATGCAGTTTCCTTTGTGTAGTCTGAAGTTATAACGTTTTCACTTCTAGTATTATTAGTCGAAAAATTTCATCATAAGCTGGATGAGGTAACAGGAATGCCTAACTTGAGTTTGCGTATTTCCCTTCAAGGTAGTTGTCAGAATAAACCCATTCGATCATATGAAAAGACGAAACGTGGTTTCAGCAGAGAAAAATTTTTCTTTTCGACGAACTCATTTACTAAGCTGTACGTTCGTGAATATATGTTACACTAGATAGAATGTTCCAGAATTGTTTCCGGTAAGGGGGCAAAATATATTGAGTGATGAAAGGAAGTTAATTAATACATATTTGTGTTTAGAGTGGAAAAATAGACAGGGGATTATAAAACTAGATATAATTACGCAATACAGGATGAATGTATGGCAAAGTAAGAAACTGAACAAAGGGCTATGGAGATAAAATTGCGATTATGTAATACCGGATAAGCCTATGATAGAGTAAGAGAGTAAACAGATGATGATGAAAATAAGATTGTAATTACGTAATACAGGTTAAATCTGTGACGGAGTAGAAAAATGAATAAGGTATACATGTGTAGTTACCTGATACAAAATGAATCTGTGGCCGACAGGGCTTTATGATGGCCATGGCAAAGATAAAGGTTGGACGTACCTTTTTTTTCATGCATAACTCTCGTTTGAACTTCTGGATGGCTAGTGCTTCAGCCATAGACAGATGCCTTGATTTTACTCCCTTCGAGTGGTTTGATAGAACCCTGTAGAGAATTTTGAATGAGCTCTCGAAAGGAGTTAAGTGGCCTGAGTTCACGAGGTGTTCTGCTATCGAAATGAAGATGCATTTCCGTTCTCCCTTTGCAAGCTAGGCTGGGTAATGTTCGCGGACATGTTTTACAAGCCGATGCATGGAACGGCTGATGTACTCAGCTCCACAAGAGCAAGTAAACTGGTATGCGCACACTGATGTGGCCCATTGCGTCGGTTTGTCTTTCACACATTGCCCGAAAAGTTTCTTGCAGAAGAAAATTATACGAAGGTGGGCGGCGAAGAATGTTCTGTTTATGGGTTTTAACAGTCGTTTCCTCAGGATCTCTGCAGTAATATCATTTCTGAATTCAAAATTCAGCAAAAAAATCTTTTTCGGCGCCAAATGTCTTTGTTCACCTGCGTTCTTTAGCCTTATGTTCTTATCTATGAATCTGAGCGTGAACCCGTTTTTCGCTAGAGTTCGTCGAAGTATTTGCAGTTCTTCGTCATCTGTGTCTTCAGTACATATTTTCCTGATCCTCGAGGAAAGTGAATGAATAAGATTTCTTTTCCTGTATAAGGGGAATGAACTCTGAAAATCAACAAATTGTCCGTTCCATGTAGGCTTTCTGTAGATCGATCCACAAAGTGAATTATCGTCTTTTCTTTGAAGTTGAACAACAAGAAAATGGAAGGTTAAGTTTGATTCTGATTCTGGAGTAAATTTGGTTGAAGGGTGGGGATTGTTGAATGTATGAAGCAGGTTTATAAGATTCATATTTTCATCATAAACTATAAACGTATCATCCATGTATCTTTTGTAAACATGGAGTTCATCGATTATTAATGATAATTTGGTGTTTTCCAGGCTTACCAGAAGACCACATTTACATAACTTCGAAGAAACTTTTCTGCATTCACATAGCAAAGCACACACCCAACAACTTGTTCGTAAGGCATGATAAATTTGAAGTTATGCTTGAATACACATTACATACTGACAGAAGTTGGAAAATGTATCATTGTATTCTGAACCAGTGATTCCGTCAAAATATATTCACTGCAAAACCTGAATATCCCGAGTTAGATCTTGAGCGGCATAGTGAATACACACAACTGCATAGACCCCTAACAGAAAGAAACATCTGTTCACTATCCTCATGTTTTCAATAGTTTTCCAACTAATATTAGTATTCAATGAATACTATCTTGAAATGAGTCACTCCTTACAATCTTCCAAACTAAAAAATCCTTAACTAGTTAGGTATTTTATCTTCCTAATCTGTAGTTTCGGTTTGAAAACATTTTCAAAATATACGCTAAAAATTATCTTACTCTATTGAATAAATGAAATATAAAAACTGGTGTTTATTTACATTGAAAACGTTACTGTCGAATTGTTTTATTAATTTAGTTGAAAAGGTTGATTTAATTTTAGCGCCATCTTTAAGGAATACTGCATTTCCTATTTTAATCATATTTATCTCATTCACATTTTCTTCAGTTAAATTATGATATAATGATGTAAACAATTGTGTAGCAATTTTCTGTTTTCCTTTAACATTATCAATTCCCAATACATCACCAATCTGTACTTGTGTATTACCTTTAACTCCTCCAGAACCAAAAAGTGTTGTAAGCAATAGGAATGCACTCAATGGAGAGGATAGGTAATCACCGATTGCTGGAAAGAGAAAATAAAAAAAAAAAACTTAAATCATTGATCTTTTTATAAGCTACAGTATATTTTGTATTTGTTGAGGATTTCAGTTTTAAGGTATTACTTTTCACTGACTGATATCAGCTGGAGAACCATTGAAAAACTTGAGAACACTGGACAGCTGTTTCTTTCTAGTATGGGATTCCTCAGAGATTCGCACCTACTACCCTATCAGATATCGAACTCGAAACTTTCAAGTTTTACTGTCAAAACTTTAACAGATCAGCTGCCATGCTAGAGTTTAGTGGTTCATTGTTTCTTACTTCTGTCAATATGCAATATAGCTCAACTATCCATCAAGGTCTTTAGTCCGCCTTCAATTCGCTTCCAACTGGTTGATGCCATAGATTACGGCTTCTCATTAGAACTTCGGTATACCAATCTCTAAGCATTTCACTAATGACCACTATATGGTAATATATCTTGAGATCAATAGGGATCTTATTCTTATGATAGTATACATCATAGACTTTGATATAAATATCCCTAAGTTCAAATGAGAACCCATGATCTGTGAGGTCAGCTAGTAGGAAGTGAAGTGGATGTCAGTTGAAGACCATGGTGGATAGTCAAACTATACCGTAAGTTGACAAAAGTGGGAATCTGTGGATTATTGCACTCCAGCCCAATAACTCAATGATTGACGCGTTCTCCGGGAAACCTGAAGCTCCTAAGTTCATTCTCCTACACGGTTGTGGGTGCTTACAACTGAGGAGTCATACACTAGAAAGAAACAAACGACCACTTATCTAATCGTTCTCAAACTGATGTCAGTAAATTAATCACCATCTCCAAGAACTGGTGAAGTCAGTACCAATTCTTTCTGCCATACCTATAAATCCAACTGCTTTCTGTTGAACGTAAAACCAGTACACACACGCCAGCTGTAATACCAGTAATACTGGTATGCAGTACAGCTACTACTTCTGTAGATATACATGATCGATAAAGCTGGTCACTGGTTATGAGATACAAAAAGAACCGAGACTTATGACAAAGCTGTGAGAGAAGTGTATTTCACTTATGTTTTGGATCGAAGTAGTTTCCTCGAAGAAGTGGAGAGGAAATAAGCTTTAATGTTGTATATGCTAGTTCCTGTCATAAAGTTTATTGATTTATTGACAGGACAAATAATGCGATCATATTTGATTTCAGTTCCCCATGTGGATAAGACTTATCTCTATATTTCTGTAAGGAATATCTTTCTCAAGGAGTTGGAGATCATTTTCTTTAGGATATCAACAACTGTATCATTTTCAAAGTTCGAATTATTGCATAACATTCTCAACATAAAAGTAAGGCCATCGTCTTTAATCTTGGCTGAATGTCGTTTACCTGCAGATTGCGGCGAATAGTCAATCCCAACGAGTATTTTTCGAAGAGTATTGGTCATCTTAGTGTAAGAGTAACACATGGGCCCTGCGATGGATCACAATTCCATATTAGACTGTTAATTTCATTGATATAGCACACACTAACTCATACAGTATTATTTACTGCATAATGTTCAAGGCAAAATCTAATACTCACTCTCAGATCAAAGTTATCACACAACTTGCTTAACTCCCTTCTATATCACAAAAAATCCTCATTCTCTGACTTCAGTAACAGTCACAGATTCCACATATCCACAACATGTAATCAACCATTCATGTCACATATGTGTTACATGTTGATTCAATGAACAGGCATTCTATCATCAATCTCTCACTCAACACAGCAACATTGGATTTCACAATTAGTCACCCTGTCACATCCCATAGTGTAATTATGAGTCAGAGTATATGAAGCGATAACCAACGTCTTCACTCAATTATTTATCCTACTATGATCTACCATTGTATATTTCATCAGGCGATTGTGATCCGACATGCTGACTGACACTGATCACCTGATTATCAGCTACATACTTCATCTCACAATCATTACATGCATGGTAATGGAGAGATGAAGCTTCTTTCTAATGAAATGGATCTACTGAATCTTGTAGCCTGTACAGTTTCTGTGAGAGTGGGCGTGTGTGCATAAATGTCACACTAATCACAGCGTTGTTAAGAATACTACATGCACTTTCATATATCCCTTTCATATACAGCAATACAACAGACAGTTTGCATTGTCTCTCATATATATCGCAATTAACACTAATATTATCCCTCTTTCAATTATAAATCTTCATAAACCTTTAAATAAATTCTTATGGGAAAAAGTTTACCTTCTAAAGGAAGAGCATACTGATCTGTAATTCATTCTTTCCTATTTCATGGCTGTGAAAAGTCACTGCTGAAGGTATTTATGAAGAGATTACAGGTTTTCGATCACCTTTATCCTCACAGCGTCGCTCACATATGATGAAATTACCATGTGAGCAATGCCGAGGTTAGGTGAAAGGTACTAGGCAAGGCAAAGCAAGCCATTCAGTCTCGGTTGCGAAACTTCGGTGATGTGTTGTGCATGTTGAGCCAATTTACACCAGAATGGGACTGAGCTAAAAGGAAATTCATGACCGGACTATGATGCGTCACCAGTTGACGAAGTTTGTGACTGTAGGTCTGATCGTGTAAGGTAGTGTAGACTGCCTGATTAAGTTCCTCCAGACCACAGGAATCAGTGACCGAAGACCCATCGTAATATGCATGAAAATCGATCACAATGGCTTAGATATATTCACTCTTCGACATCTTCTAAAGTTTCAACACTTTTATCAACCTTCATTTTCAAATTCCTTCTCCTCCTCCTCCAACACACCCTTGTCTACTTTTACTATCCACTTTCTATTTGTATGCTGGTATGCAGAGTGGCAAATTTAGCTGATGCCCTTCTATGCAAGGTTTTAATCTGATTTTATCTGCTGCCTTCAAGTCAGAAATATATTTGGAATATATTTATTTGTTGGCAATGATTACTTGGCTTCGGTCTACACGAATATTCCTGTTTTTGATACTTACTGTTTATGACTGTTTGCAAGTAGAGGGTCATCTTCAATGGCTGATTAAATCAAATAATATGATAGGATAATATCTTCTAGTCTAATGGAATGGTGACAAGATTTAACCACTATCTGCATAATTTAATGACTGTTTGTAATCGACTTGAATATAACGAATGTAAAAAGGTTGGGCATAGGGCTAGCAACCCTACCCCGGAAAACAAATCTAACCGCTAAAGAAACTTCAAAGCACAAACAAAATATAAAAAATAATAACAAAATTATTCCTCGTTGGAATCGGAGAGGCAAAATGAGGCCAGTTGGTGAAAGATTTCGGGAAGCCTATTGGCCAATGTGTCTTATCTCCCCCGATGAAAGCGAAAGTAAACGTGGGGACATGAAATGTCTGCACAACCTTTGAACTCAGCAAGGCAGCCAAGATTGCAAACGAGATGAAGAGGTATCACATTGAAGTGCTTGGAATTTGCGAAAGCAGATTGAATGGGAGTAGACTCTCCACACTATCAACTGGAGAATCAATAATCTACTCCGATATTGTCACCCAGATGACAACCACAAGCACACTGAGTTTCGGAGTGGCTATCATGATGTCCCAAACAGCATCGAAGGCTCTCTCTCACGCAGTGGGAACCAATCTCCTCCTCCAAAATCAGGAACATGACAGCGAGGTTCAACTCGAAAGGAAGGAAGGTCACAATCATAGAATGATACACTATGCACCTACAAATAATGCAGAGCAAGAGAAAAATGATAAATTCTACAGACAACTTCAATCAACACTGGACAAGACCACACCCCAGTTAGCGATATCAAAATTCAAATGGGCGGGGTGACATGAATGCCAAACTGGGAGCAGACAACACAGGAAGAGAACAAACCATGGGTCGAGAAGTGCTCGGTGAGGTGATGAAGGAGAATGGAGAATTGTTTGCAGAATACTGTGCATTCAATGATTTGGTGATTGGAGGAGAGTTAGTGTGTTCAAGCACAAGGATATCCACAAGGTAGCGACATGGATTTCACCAGACACCAGGACACACTAAAAATCAAATCGACTTTATTTCAATGTGAAGAAAGTGGAGACGCAGCCTACTTGACACAAGGTGAAGAAGAGGAGCAGATGTAGGTTCAGACCACTCACCATCTAGTGTAAGGAACCTTCCAAATCAAGTTAAAAGCCCTCAAGGAAGCTGGTGATAGACCGCGGTTCAAGTACAACACTCGGAAATTGAGGGATGAAATTACAAAGGAAATCATCACGTCAGTCAGCCATCAAGACAAAATGGGAGATATCGAGCAACATCCATGAAGAAACCTGTGTAGAAGAACACTGGAAGTCTTTGAAAGAGATGTGGAGAGAGACCTGCATAACTGTATTAGGAAGGAAGAAGAAAGAAGACAAGGAATGGATCTCAACGGATACATGGAAGCTGATAGAGCAGTGAGAGGAGGATGGTGAAACAGCAGATAAACCAGTGCAAGGATGCTCAACGACAAGAGGAACTGAGTAGAATGTATAAAACACTACACAGGACAAAGAAGTGAAGAAGAGTGCACGGAAAGACAAAAGACACTTCTACGAAACACTGGCAAGTGAAGCAGAACAGGCTGCTGGTAGAAAGAGAGACAGAGACCTGTTAACATTGTATCAAATAACCAGGTTACTATCTGGGAGGGAAGGGGTCAACACACATGAAACCAATAAGTGATGATGGAAATTCAATTACGAAAGAAGAGAAACAACGAAAACGATGGGCCGACCACTTCAAGAAGCTCTTGAATCGACCACCACCACCACCTGCACTTCGTCCAGAAATACCACAAACAGCACAGCCATAGGACTACAAGTGAACATAATTCCTCCAACAAAAGCGGAAGTCCTGAACGCCAGAAAGCTACTGAAATGTGGGAAAGCAGCAGGACCAGACGGGATCCCGTCAGAAGCACTGAGAACAGACACAGAGACAACAGTGGACATGCTCACACCACTATTGCAGAAGGTTTGGGAAGAGGG